ATGGGGTAGGACTAGATAAGTCTAACTTCTTCCTACTCCGTTCAAGCATGTACTAGGTATAAGCAAATTGATAATGCATTTGTGGATATGTGTGAAATTATGTGTGTTGACATATTGACTGTCTTTACATGTTTGAAAGAATAAATCAAATCAAATCAAAAATTTACACTTTCAAGGAACAAATGCAGCAGACAAAAGCACTCATCAGAGTTTCAGGTCACTGTCTCTAACAGGAAGTTGTAGAAACAATCTGCAGTTTTTGGGACAAGTTTCTTTCTGATTTCCCGGTTTTATCAGATGGAGAGGACGTGCCGTGGTTCCCCATGAAGATCTCAGAGCTGGACCAGTGTTCCCACAGAGTCCTGATGTATGGATCAGAGCTGGACGCCGACCATCCCGTACGTCATGTTTTACTTTTTACACCTTAGTTAAGTGCCTCTGTAGGAAACTGAGTGACACAGGTTGCTCTGCACAGAGGAATAGAGAGATACCATGGCATCATGGGTATTTGCACCACTGGTGCAAATAAAAGTACATAGACACCAGAAACACTAAAGACACAACAGGCAGTATAATGTACACATGGAATAAGGGTTGGGGTTTGCAATTACTTCAGCTCTGCTTGTTCCAGCAGGATAACTGAAAGTGTTTCAGGCCTCACGCTCCTCCTCTGTCCCCTCTTCCTCCTCTTCCTGTCAGGGCTTTAAGGACAACGTGTATCGCCAGCGCAGGAAATACTTTGTGGAAGTGGCCATGAATTATAAATTGTAAGTTTCATTGTCTCTGTTTTTTCACAGAACAGAAGATGCAGTTGCTCTTTAACAGATTTCATTTTAATGACACTTGTTCAGGACATTAAAGACTGTGGTATTTAACACAAGTGTAGTAACAGCATCACTGATAGCTCTGTATCTGTGTTCTTACGAGAAATAACGGCGACTTCTCGCTCTTTCTTCAACAATATGATAGGATGATGGTTGTTTCCGAGTTGAAATGTGACAGTAAACCGTGTGTGTGCACCCTCAGCGGGCAGCCCATCCCTCATGTCGACTACACCCCCGAGGAGATCAGGACGTGGGGGGTGGTGTTCAGAGAGCTGACCAAACTGTACCCGACGCACGCCTGCAGAGAGCACCTGAAGAATCTGCCGCTGCTCATCAAACACTGCGGCTACAGGGAGGACAACATCCCCCAGCTGGAGGACGTGTCCCGCTTCCTCAGAGGTTCACTTAGAATAAATGACACATCGCTGGTTTACATACTACCAACGGCGCAAAGTAGCTAAGTACATTTACTCATCTTGGACTTAACTACGTTTCACTGACAAACCTTGTGCTTTTTACTGCACTACATGTATCTGATAACTTAGGGTACTTTTCAGAGTTGGATGAATAAAACAAATTACAATAAATCAGTCTCATTTGATCAGATGCAGCTGTTCACGAGCACAGAGCTGATTCAGTCATGCGTGTGTTTCAGAGCGCTCTGGGTTCACCGTGCGACCAGTCGCAGGTTACCTGTCTCCCAGAGACTTCCTGGCTGGTTTGGCCTACCGAGTGTTTAACTGCACTCAGTATGTACGTCACAGCACCGACCCACTCTACACTCCTGAACCGTGAGTACCGCTTCATGCTCACCCCGACAGCCTGCCGTTTGTGAGTGTAAACTGCATCTTCTTTCTGCCGATGCTGTGACCGCAGTGACACCTGCCATGAGCTGCTGGGTCACGTGCCTCTGCTGGCTGATCCAAAGTTCGCCCAGTTCTCGCAGGAGATCGGCCTGGCCTCTCTGGGAGCTTCAGACGAGGATGTTCAGAAATTGGCCACGGTGAGTGTCCACATCTGCTCCTTTAAGACTAACACCAGGCAGAACCTCCTTCTCTAGACATGTACAGAAGAAGACCTGTGATGTGGTAAGTCTGCAGCTTATCACACCTGATAGTATCAGAGCCAGAGTCACAGATTCCTGCTCTTTCTCTGTCCCACTCTCTCTGTGCAAAAGACACCACCTCTTCACTCTGGCAGCTGCTGGATCAGACTTTTAGCTGCCCAGAGCTCTTCCATGACTACTGGTGGCTGGTGGCAGGCGGGGCTGATTTACAGACCGTACTTTGACAACACAGGATGGAGAAGCTGGAATAACAACAGGAGACTGTAGGCAGCAGAGGGTCATGGAGGGGGGGTGTAGCTGAGAGACACCATGTCCTGTCCCACTGTCCCTGGGGTTATCAGTCAGTGGGGGGAATCTGAGTTAATGTAACTTTAAATAGGTACATCAGAAGCAGAGTTGTGTGCAAAAGAAAATGAAAAGCTTCTCCAAGGTTTTAGGTGGTAAACATCGGCCCTACCCAGAGCAGAGTCATTCTCTGAAGTCAAAGCCTGATGAAGATGAGCAGCTTCTTCAGCACATGGAGTGGCTGTGTATGATCTTCTGTAAAGCGCTTTGGCCAGTGCAACACACTGTGAGAAAGCGCTATATAAAATACAGTCCATTTACCACTTATACAAAGACAAGTATCTGCAAGAAGCAGGACAGTAGCTGTGATCTGCCACCATGTCAGTCAGATTTCTTACAGGAACAATGTTGAAAATACTCATCTGATGGAAAAAAAACCCTATGAACTGTGAAAATGCCGTAGGCCCATCAAATTTACACTGGCAACCCTGCAGCTCTTGGTCATTTATCATTTGAAGGTGAAGCACGGCACACACACTGGCTCCTCCCAACGTGTTGGATTGCGCCTTCATCAAGGGTTAAAACAGGAAGCATCTGCATTGATCAAACAGTTAGAGAGATCATCTGTTCTGTTGTTCTTTGGTTTGTTGTAGCAGTTGATAGGAAAAATACATTTTCTTCAGTCTTAAATTTAACTTCAAAGGTTCTGTCATTAGTTTTTCCTTTGACCACAAGATGGTGCTGTGATGACAGAAGCAAAGGAGAACAGCGGTGCAGATGGTCTGGTTACTGAAGGATGTAGTTATTCTCCAACAGGGTGGCTCATCTGTCAAGTACCTTTCTACTCAGTACTCCTGCTGTGAACCCAGATGAATGTCTTGCTTCTGTATGAAGAAAGGAGCGATTCTGTGTGCGTTCGTTCTCCTAAAATATAACCCAGGGTGTGTGCAGTGACGCCAGTTGGTGCTAAATCAACACAGTTATCAGTGTGTTATCACAGCCGGCGGTGGCGGCAGAAAGGCAACGCTTAATGCTGTGATACATGACAGTATATACTATAATACTGCACCCGAGGCTCTTTGTTTTCTGTTTTAATCAGTTTGCACAAAGAACAAAAACGTCTTCACAACAATTCAGGTCATTGATCTGCATCTCAGTGGGACTGTGAACACTGCCCACCTGTGTGTCTGTGTGTTTTTAGGTTTAGCCTGGCAACAGCAGGTGTTTGGCTCAACGCTGCTGGATGAGCCTGATGTTCACACAGACGTTGTGCAGTGGCCAGCTCACCGTTTTTAATAACACTAACCAAACTAAGAACAGACAGAGCCAGAAAGGATTCAGTGCTCACTACTGTCTGTGCTGTGTGTGTTTTAACAGTGTTATTTCTTCACTATCGAGTTCGGACTGTGCAAACAGGACGGTCAGCTGAGAGCGTATGGAGCTGGGTTACTGTCGTCTATCGGAGAGCTGAAGGTAGCAGACATCAGCAGCACCTTGTTCCGTATCCACTCATCTGCCTGGTTCTTTCTTATTAATTAATGAAGTGTTTGGTCTGTAAAGTGTCAGAAAATGAAAACAAATGTCCTTTAATATTTCACACCTTCAGATACTCTACTGTGTCTGACCAGCAGTTGACTGTGACAAAGACAAAGAAAAGCATCAGCTCGTTATATTTGAGAAGCTGCACGAGCAAAGGCTCTGGCTTTGTGACTGAAAAATGACCGAACTGATGTTACTGACATCTGTATGAACCATGACATAGCTAGAACCTTTTAGCACCAGCTGAGTAAAATCCAGCCAATTAAAGTATAGAGAGTGAAAATGCAATAAAATACAACTGGAAATAAACACATTCAGATTGGAAAAACAAAACCTTAAAGTTAAAAAAAGATGCTTACTGATTTGACTGACTGTTTGAATGATGACTTGGTGGGCTGTTTTCCCAGCATGCCCTGTCCGACCAGGCCTGTGTGAAGATGTTCGACCCGAGGACGACCTGTCACCAGGAGTGTCTCATCACTACCTTCCAGGAGGTTTACTTCATCTCTGAGAGCTTTGAGGAGGCCAAGGAGAAGATGAGGTAAACTGGTTTTACTGGTTCTGTCTGTGCACCAGTACCTTACAGACACCCCTCCCTGTTCATGTTGTTCAGGAGGGTGGTGTGTAGTATAGTAAGGTGGGAAGTATGTACTGAAGTGCTGCGCTCCCAGGATCACACTGGACAACGGAAATGTGATCGTCTTATTAATTCACTGTACAGTACACTGTAAAACTGCACAAACACAACACATTCATAATAATAACACAGAATATGTTAATAACTCATTTACATTATATAAAGACCAACTCTGGGGATTCTCTATGTTGGATTTAGTCCCCACCAACCCCGTCCAGAGACCAGCAGCACCAGTGAACATGGTGTCCTCACTGTAATGTGAGTCCAGACCCTGGTCCAGCTCATCGCTCTGAGCCGTAGACCTCCACTGTTGTCCACCAGCTATTAACCCCCCACCCCCGCTGTTGAGACACGCTGCTGCACTGGGGAGCAGGTTTCCTCCTCAGGAAACACGGGAAAATGATTTAACTCTCCCCTTCAGCTTCGACTTCTGGACAGAAATTTGCAATAACGTCTTTTCTATGAGCAGCAATATAAACTTACAACTTATACAAGACCATTTATAGGACCCATATTACACAAAGTAAAATGTTCAAAATGGGTTTCACTGACACAGACATCTGCTCACAGTGTACTCTAGGTTGCACCAACAGTTATTTTCATGCTACTTGGACCTGCCAACCAGTTCATTCCCTCTGGATAGCAGTGACAGAGAAACTCTCCACCATCTTGGGCTGTAGAATCCCTCCCTCTCCATCATTCTGCTTACTCGGTAATATCATAGAAATCGACCACCTACCAATCAAATACAAAAACCCACTCCTCATTTCTCTAGCTATTGCCAAAAAAACATTCTTTCAGAATTGGAAATCAAAAAAATCACTACATATAAACCACTGGACCAACCTTCTGGCAGAATACAGCACATTAGAGAAAATGGCATCCACTCACAAGAATAGTTTATCTGCTTTTTATGACACATGGAACCCATTTCTAACACATTTCAACTTGAATCAAATACCTGGGGCTGAGGCCACACACATTCCCACCAACCTCTAAAATGTTACAAGTTGATTTTATTAGTAGTACTGCTATCATCATTACTATTGGTAATACCCAAACTTCACACACTACAACCTTGTTAAACACTCTATATCCTTTTGTAATGTCATGTAACTGTTGTCTTGTCTCGCATGTTCTGTACTGTTTTGTTAATGTGTTACTTTGTTTCAATTAAAAAAAAAAAAAAGAAACACGTGAGGCCGTCTGTTTCCAACAACCAGTTGGTCTCTGCTGTGGTTACACTGCTGTTTGACAGTGAACCTGGCTGTGTGCACATTAGTTCATTGCAGCTTTCTCTGCCGTGTCCTGACAATTCCCTCTGTGTCGCAGGGACTTTGCGAAGACGATCAAGAGGCCGTTCTCAGTGTACTACAACCCGTACACTCAGAGCATCGACCTGCTCAAAGACACACGCAGCATCGAGAACGTGGTGCAGGACCTGCGCAGCGACCTCACCACCGTCTGCGATGCTCTGGGCAAGATGAACACCTACATGGGAATCTGAACACGAGCTCTGATTGGTCCAGAGCACGGCGCTGACCCTCACACCTGTGCTCACACAAACATCATTTCACACATTTATTGGTCTGTAACATCACCGCAGCCAAACACAAAGACATAGTAGGCAGATTATCACAAGACACACAGACCGATGTTTGCCCTCCCGGAGTGGGAACACTGGTCTGGTGTCCTCATAAATCCACATATTAAGGCCACTGTTCACCTTTTTTCATTTAAAGGGTTATTTCCCAGTTGAACAATTAAAACTACACTGGCTGTTTTATCAGACAACCAGATGATCATCAGGTCACCAAACTGTAGCAACTGACTGAAAAAACATCCTGTTGTGTTGTGGTTTTGGGAGTAAATATAAACGTGTGTAAACAATAAGACTGTTCCGTGTGTTGGTGTTCTGTGTGCAGCACATTCTCTGTCCTCATTTGTTTTTCCTCCAGCGGTCATCACAGACCTGTGAAGTAAACAGAGCTAAAGCCTTAAAGCACAGTGTCACTGTCTGTGGACAGAAACACTGCAGAGACTCTGTCAGTGGACATCCAGACAGTAGGAGGAGCCTCTGTTGGTAACAAGGCTAAAAACGTGTCGTTAATTTAATTATAATTAGCCGTGTTGGTTGTTTAGGTGCTGATTTCATAAAACCCATCACAGCTGAACAGAGCTTCATCAGTGAAATAAATCTTTTCCCTGCATGTCACTGCCAAAGCGCAGTCTGAGTTGAGCTTCAGGCTGCCTCACTCTCCCACTGTCATGTTTTCATTTCCCAGCTCAAATTTAACTGTGACTTTACAAAAATATGATGGAAAAAAAAATAGCATCATTACATCCATCTCTGGAATAAATGAAGGGTCATCCTCAGGACTCGTAGATCTGTGCAGCTCAGTCGATGTCAAACACTTCGTCCTGGATGAGACAGAGAAGACAACAATGTACTCAGACATCTGAGATATTTTACCTTATTACACAAGAATAAAAAGCATAAGGCAGCACTGGCAAAGTACGTGGAAGTACTAGTATTAGTTTGAATTTAAAGCTGCATCCTCATCCCAGCTGAAGTTTCCCTCCCAGTGACTCAGACCTGGTCTGTCTACAGCAGTGTGAACAGACCAGACCAGGTGTCCTCAGACCAGATCCAGGCCACCTGTGTACAGTATGTGCTGCTAGACCCGATTCCTCTCCGCTGTCAGAACGGTCAGATCAGAATCCATGTGGTCGTTTTAGCATCTCCTCTGCACATACGGCCTGTTCACACCGGAGCCGGGTACACGGCACTGACACACACGGACAGGAAGCAGCAACACAAAGGTTTGATCTGGATGTTAAGGCCTGGGATGTGGATGCAGCCTAAATCCACAGGGACCCAGTCTCCTGCAGGAGGGACTCTACTGCATAAAAGGAAAATATGTAAGTATTACCCACATACTAGCCTGTTACCTATTCCCTCAGTTCCTCAGGATTTATGTGGGTCTCGTTTCACTCATTGGCCAACCTGTTTCACCTGTGAACCCTACCTGCCTGCTACTGACCCAAGTCTAACCATGGCAGCAGAATAGATACAGAGGACATAACCCCAGTGTTCTCTGTGGTTCTGGTCCCTCTTTGACCTGTCTGCAGTCTGCTCACCCAGCCTCCCTGCTGTTGCACCCAGGCAGAGTGTTGCTGCTGGATGTATTGCTCCCCGAAGCTCAGCAGTTTCCTCCGCTGGACGACGCCCAGGGACGACAGCCTGGTGGTCAACTCAAAGGCCCAGGCGATCTTCTGCTTCCGGATCTCCTTCTCGGACTCTGTCACCTGGCCCTTTTGTTGGGTGACAGACATCAAATTCACGTACGAGTTGTAGGTGAGGTTAGAGAGGTTCTGCAGCAGGACTTTGTCCTGTTGGATCTGAGCAGTGACAGGAGACAAACACAGCCCGGGGCTTAATAAGCTGCTAACATGCTGTTAATTGTTACATCCTTTTATTATTATTGATAATATTAATAATAATTATT